TGCACAGTTCTTTAGGTGCTTCTCAGGCATTCTAGATTCCTCAGCTGACAATTCTTTGTGTAGTTCTCTACCCCATTTTTAATGGGGTTGTTTGATTCTCTGGAATCTATTGAGTTCTTGTATATATCAGACATTAGCCATTTATAAGATGTAAGGTTGGTAAAGATCTTTTTGCAATCTGTAGGTTGCTGTTTTGTCTTATTGACAGTGTTCATTGCTTTATGGAAGCTTTTCTATTTCATGAGATCCCATTTTTCAATGGATGATTTTAGAGCATGAGTCACTGGTATTTTGTCCAGAAATTTTTATCCTACGCGAAAGTTTTCGATCCTCTTTCTCACTTTTTCTTCTATTAGTTTCAGTATATCAGTATAGTTAAGTGGAGGTCCTTGATTCAACTCAATTCTATATAGAGACAGACAGAGCATTTCTCAGTTTCAAATAGAATAACAAAAGCTTTTCTCAACAATATGAGAATTTCTGGGTGAATCACCATACTTGATCTCAAGATGTACTACAGAGCAATAGTGAAAAACACTGCATGATATTGGTACAGAGAGAGATAGGTATATCAATGAGATAGAAATAAAGACACAGAAATGATCCCACACATCTGATCATTGACAAAGAAGCCAAAACCATTCAGTGGAAAAAAAGACAGCATATTCAATAATTGGTGGTGGCTCAAGTGGCAATCAGGATGTTGATGCAAATTGATCCATTCTTATCTGCTTGTACAGAGCACATTTGTTTGCTTTCTTTGGGAAAGTGTTGTAGGATAATTTCCTGCTACATTTTATTTGCAGTTAAGCTCAGTGGTTGGACAGTAGAAACGATGGATGGAACTAAGAGTGGGAAGGAGAGAAAGAAAAGAAGAGGAAAGGGAGGAGAGAGCTAGAATTCATGGAGAAAGATGGATGGGTCGAAAGCAGTCCTGGGTAACAATTTACATCTAAAGGTTAGATATCGGGTAAAAATTATAATTGTGTGGGTATATTGTTAATTGAACACTTCCAAATATAGAAATCTATTGGATAATCTTTAAGCATTAAATGTCTCCATTCTACCAGGTACTCTGAGCATGGCGGATATTATCTGGGGCTTAGAGGAGCTTTTTGGAGATGATGTGGTTGGATTGATGGAGCCAGTGGCCACTCTGGTGTCTCATGGGTCTAGATCTGGTATGCTTGGCCTCTGGACACTTCTAGTGGGGGAACATGGCGGGCAGACAAGACAGCTAACAGAGCCGACTCGCTGATTCTCAAATATCTCCCATTACAGGTGACACCAAAATCAAACAGGTGATATTTAGAAATGCCATGGTAGTCTATCTCTGTTAGCTATCTGGGCTGCCCCCCAAGTTGCTGCACTTGAAGAGACCAGAGGCCAAGTGCTGCACAGATAGAAGCAGCCAGAGGCCAAGAGCACCCCAAAAGATGTTACTGTGGCAGCTAGTTCTGAGTGAGTTCCACAGAGACCATGCTCCAAAGCATGGATCTTGGGCCAACCCTGTTACTCTCATGGTTCTCTGCTAAGCCCCAGACAATATCAGCTGTGCTTACAGTTCTAGGTAGAATGAAGCCTCTTAAATCTTAAAGATTATCCAATGGATTTATATATTAGGAAATGTTCAATACACAAGATGCCCAATCAATTAGAATTCTTACCCAATATCTAGCCTTTTGATAGAAATTGCTACCCAGGACTGCTAGATATCCATGGTTCTTCCTCCATGTTCCTTCCTCTCTCTTTCCTTGCTTCTCCCAACTCTTCATTCCACCTACCTCTTCTATTGCCCAGTCACTGAGCTCCATTGCAAATACAATGTAGCAAGAAAATATCCTGCTACAGAAAAGTGCTGTAGTTTGTGTAATCATGAGGCTTATAGCTGGAGACACAGATCCATAATATCCTGACATATGACTGAACAGATATTATATAATATGAGAAGATGACAGCGCCATTATAGACCTAGAGATGAAAGATTCTGGAAACCTTATGAAGTATGGCATCACTTGGAGACAAAAATGTGGATAAATGGGAGGCCTATATGATCTACAAGAAAATGTCAACCCAGCACTTAAAGCAAGACCATCAAGATGATTGAATAAGATATGGGGTAGAAGGATATGACATGGAAAGAAACACTCCCTCTTGGTGCCTTGGGAACATTACAGAAATATTAATAGTGGTAAATAAAACTCATAACTGAGTATTTATTATTAATCAAAGAATAATATCAAATAATATTTATTTTAATATAATGAAGTTTTACTTCATAAGAATGAAACTTTGAGCCTAAAGGATTGAATATTATATGGCTAAGCTATGACATCAACTATATTAGGTTAATTCAGTATAACCTAGGTATTCATAATTTACTTAATCTATACATACAGTATTTTCAAAATTATTATAGTTTTAATTAAGTATTTGTTTTTATTTCCTTTGGATTCATATGGTATTTACTGCTAAGAGAAAAGAGGAGTTTACCTGTACAAAGAACAATACAGAAGTGCTCCAAGTTTACAATAGTATATATGAGTAATATTCATACTGAGTAAAGCTTGGATCTTCTTCAGAACTATTTCCTCTTTTATTTGGTGTCAGTCTTCTGAGAATTTCATGGACCAGCCTGTTCAAAACTAACTACAGCATTAATACTTGTAATAGAATTCTATTGATGTCTATCTCCTAAATTCAAAAGTAAGAGAACCCCTCTTTCCTTCCTAAACTGTGTTATTTATATTTTTTTAAAAAGAATCCATAATGGCGTTGATATTCTAAACATTGTACAGAGGACAGCAGAAAAGCAATGGGCCTTGGAGGATAAAATTTATGTCTACATTTTTCTGGAGAAGCAGACACTTAGTGAGTCTCATGTGGTCTGCACTGATTCAGCAGGCATCAGAAGAATCTTGGAGCCAACATCTTATAGCTTCTTGACAGATGTTTTGCATTTACATTGTAGAGTACCATTACACATTGGCCTCTGTTGAAGAATTCCCTGTGTGCTGGTTGTTCTCTGCTTTCCAGTTGGAGGAGTCTGAACTGTTCTCTAAAAGGCAGTATTTCAAGCAATATGTAAATACAAAATCTGTTTTCATTATCTCTTACATAGTATTACCCTAGGTGACTCATGTCTGCCACAACACATTTTCCATCATTGTTTCATATTTAGCACATATGATTCATATTTGTTCTTATAGATAAAATGTTTAGTAGAGAAACATTCAAAATAAGTGTTCTGAGCTAAAGATATTTCTCAATGGTATGAAACCCTTGAGATTTCTAATGATTACAGCACTTATTAAAAATGGCAGGCTCTGTACACATTACCAACAACAAAATGTGAGAGATGCTGTGTTAGTGCAAGTCCATTCGTTTTTCAAGATATAGAGTGTAAGTCAGGACAATGAGACTGTGAAGGCAAAAATATTAGACAAGAGAATAATGGATATGCTCAGAACATAATCACAGCTAAGTGTGTACACATTTTGTTGTGATGTCAGTTCTGTAAATGATAATTTAATATTGCCTTTAACCAAATTAAAAGATGTATACTTAAATAAAAGTATACAATTGTAAAAATATCTCTTATACTCTAAGAAGTGAAATCTTCTGCTACTTTCCAGCCAGAGTGTATATGATACGATGAGGTCACTTATGACTTAAGATTGCAGGACATTATTTGCTATCCTGTTTCTTTCAGGTGCCTGTAAGAGAATAATAAATCAACTAACCATAGTTGTCTTGCATTTAATCTATGTAATAAATTTTTACAACCTTTGCTAATTCTCAGCTCTAATACATGTTCCAGACACTATAATATTGCATATTTTGATATGTCTTATGAAAATAAATAATGCAGATTTGAATCACTCATAAAATAAATACCTAGAGCAGCTGAAGACAGCAGATACTGCTCGATTATCAATAATGTTTATAACTCTCTCTCTCTCTCTCTCTCTCTCTCTCTCTCTCTCACAAACACACACACACACATACAGAAAAAGAAAGAGAGAGGGAGGGAGGAGAGAAAGGGAGGGAGGGAGGGAGGAGTGAGAGAGAGAGAGAGAGAGAGAGAGAGAGAGAGAGAGAGAGAGAGAGAGAGAGAGAACTTGGGCTGGGCAACTTTGTCTCCTGCATCCTGCATGTTTGTCTTTTACTGGATTTCTACAAAGACATCAGTTTGTTTCCAATTTAATGGATGTTATCACCATCATAATTTTGTAATTAAGGCACTTTTTCTTGTAATTCAGCTATATTGGAACATCCAGAGATTGCTTTTGTTGGATAGCTGAGCTTTAGTGTTACCATATTGCCCTGGTTGTTGTTAATTTTCCATTTTTGCTGATGTCTAGTCATCTGACTATGGGATTATTTTAGGTTCAGATTCTACTTTCTGAGTTTACCTTTGATGTGTGAATTATTATTATTATTATTATTATTATTATTATTGGCTTCTATGTCTGCTTTTGTCTTCTTACCTGAGTGTCCTGTTCTTCTAGTGGCTAGAGTCTTCAGGGGCAGTAAGATGACTTCACTGGTGTTTTTGTGGCCTGAGTGACTTTTGGAGCTTTCTAGTTCCCTCTGGGTTTTTGGAGTTCAGTGAACTGCAATGGTCACTTGGGATCTGGATACCAATGTACCTACTGGGTTTTTGGTTTAGTCTTTGGTGTTTGTAGAATTGCTTTGTTCTTTGGGAGACTAAGAAATTTCTAGTGATGTATTGGACTGCAATGTTGAGCTTCCAGGAGGAGAGGTCAATGAAGAATTCCAGGTATAATTTAAGGAGGATTAGTGAACTGTGAACATTTTATTAACTGAAGATCTTAAAACCAGTGTGTCTTCCTGTACAGCTGGAGTCTCATGCCGCAGTTTTGGGCAAGAATTGTTTTTTTCCTACTCTAGATTTCTGTGTTTGCTATATGCTGTCTGCCCCCTATTGGTGCAGAGCTGCTCTACAAAGAGGTTTATGTCTGGGCTCACACTGGAGACTACACACTGTGTCTTGCACAGTAATATGTGGCTGTGTCCTCAGTAGTCACAGAATTCAGTTGCAGGAAGTACTGGTTCTTGGCTGTGTCTCTAGTGATGGAGATTCGACTTTTGAGAGATGGGTTGTAGTAAGTGCTACCACCAGAGCTTATGTACCCCATCCACTCCATTTTATTTCCTGGAATCTGCCGGATCCAGCTCCAGACATATCCACTGGTGATGGAGTAGCCGGTAACAGAGCAGGTGAGGGACAGTGACTGAGAGGGTTTTACCAGCCCAGGTCCTGACTCTTGAAGCTGCACCTCCGAAAGGATACCTTCAGAGAAGAAGAATCAATTCTGTCAATCACACATTTTGAAAAACCCCCATGACACGTGACACATGTATGAAATGGGAACACTCACCAGGAAGGGCTGTCAACAGGTACAGAAGACTTAACCCTCTCATCTTTTAAGCTTCAGAGATCAGCCTTCAGTGAGAGAGATAGGAACTGCAGCAGCCCTGCAGGAAATATAACTTAGAGGGAGAGATTCATTTGCATGCAGGGAGCCAGTTTTGCCTTCATAACTGGGGACGGGAGATAGTGGTTATTAAAATAAGACCATCCCTCTCTATTACTTCCTATGGTATGATTTTGGAATGAGATAGCACAAGTACTGTAGAAATCACATCTAGATATGATCCTACCTTCCCATCAGAAATCAATCTCCCCACAGACTCTTTTCTGTTCCTGAGTTTTTAGGGTCTCAAGTCAGTGCCAACCTTCCTTTCACACTTATATTCCTGACTTATTGTTTTCTTATTTATAAGTACTCATGGTTCCTAGTTTTCATCTCTTTTCCCACTCATAATATGTGTCATCATCTTTCCTCAATTTTTGTATATTGACTTATGTGCTACACTGATGATCTTCTATATTTCCAGTAGAGAGTCCTTAGGTAGAATGCAGTAGTAATGCAGGTAAATCACATTACATTTGTGATTTTTACCTTTAGTGAGACTGCTCAGAGAAAATGCCATAGGAACTACAACATGCTATCCAACCATGCATTATGTAAAACACTAGAAACATATTTTCTTGATATGCATAAAACAATCTTGGAAACAAGTTTGCTGTTACTTGAAGCTCTGACAGTAGCACTTAGTCTGGCCTATCTTAGGTAGTTATACTGTCCATTTTTATTGGTGTACTATGATTTGGTCCTGATACCTTCAATTGGAAAAATTTCTGAGAAATGGAGCATTAATGCAGCATCAACTTAAAATACATTTGAAGCCAAAATAAATAAATAAATAAATAAATAAATAAATAAATAAATAAATAAACATTCATAAGAAAATGACAGAGAGACAGAACATGGGGGAAGAGGAATGGGAAGAGGAATGGGAGGTTGAGGAACATGTGTAGAAAAGGACATGGGAGATGGCTAGATGGTCATGGAAATGAAAAGAAATCTACAACTGCTTGAGGTCTGGAGTGGGGAGCATCTACAAGATAAGACAGAGAACTGGGATATGGTAACAACCCAAGAATTAATGTGGGTGACTTTAGCTGTGACTTACTATATTGCTAATATGGAACTCGGAGAAGCCACCTTCTGTAGCCAGACAGGAATCCCAGTCAAGCTATAAAGACATTAACCCACCCACAGAACATTCAACCCCAATTTATCTTGTTTATAAGAAATGTTGTCACTGGAGATGGGGCAGAGACTGAGGAAATGGACAACGTATAACTGGCTAAGTTAAAGCCCATCCCATGTTCAAGCACCAGTTCCTTACAATATTCATGATACTTTGTTATGTTTACAGACAGGAGCCTGGCATAACTGTTCTCTGGGAGGTTTCACTCAGCATACAGATACTCACATGGAAACAATGGATGGAGCTTAGAGTGGCTCTTACAGAAGAATAAGAGAAAGGATTGTGGGTTCTGAACAGGTTAGGAATTCCAGACAAAGACAAACAGAATCAATGAACATGAATGTTTTACACTCTCAGAAGTCTGGATCTCAAACCAAAACAAAAAAGCTGGATGTAGGCATCCCAAAACATAAGTAACAGATGTGCAGCTCTACTTTTATATGAGTCCAGAACTGGAAGAGGATATCTCAAAAGCTTTTGTCTATAAAAGGGGTTATCTACTCTATCTGGGCTGCTTCATTTGGTTTCATGGGAAAGGAAACAACTAGCCTCACAGAGACTTGACCTTTCAGGGTGTAGGGGTGAGAAAACCAGAGGGAGCCTAGCTGCTCAGAGGAGAAGGGTAAGTTAGTAATGGGGAAAGATGGTGTAAGGGAGAGGCTGGATTAGGGGTAATGAGTCAGCTATAAAATGAATACGTAAAATAAAAAAATAAAAATAAGAAAAGAGTTCAGAGTTTCTTGCTGGTCATTCTTCAGAGTGCTAGGTGCTGAATAATTAAGTTGGCCTTCTGTTTGCTATCAACATGATGCCAACTCACCAATTCCTTCATCACCTGCTACAAGAGAGAGTGAGCGTGAGAGCAAGTGCGAGAGTGAGAGCGAGAGAGCAAGAGCGAGAGCGAGAGCGGGAACTTTGGGCTGGGCAACTTTGTCTTTTACTGGATTTCTGTAAAGAGTTTATTTCATTTCCACTTTAATGGACATTATCACCATCATAAGGTCGTAATTAGGGTACTTTTCTTGTACTTAAGCTATATTGGAATATCTGGTGATTGCTTTAGTTATATACCTGAGCTTTAGTGTTGCCATATTGCCCTGGTTGTTGTTAATTTTGCTTTTTTCTAGTGTATAGTCATCTGTCTATGGGATTATCTTAGGTTTATGTTCAACATTCTGAGTTTATCTTTGATTGGTGAATTATTTTCTTTTGGTTTCTATGTCTGCTTTTGTCTTCTTGCCTACATGCGCTGTTGTTCTTGTACCCAGAGACTCTTTAGGAGCAGTAATGTGACTCCACTGGTGTTTTTGTCGCCTTAGTGGCTTTTGAAGCTTTTCAGTTGCCTCTGGGTTTTTGTAGTTCAGTGAACTGCAATGGTCACTTGGGATCTGGATACCAATGTACCTACTGGGGTTCTGGTTTAGTCTCTGTTGTTTCTAGAATTGGTTTCTTCTTCAAGAGAGCAAGAGAATTCTTATGATGTTGTGGACAGCAATGTTGAGCCTCCAGGAGGAGGGGTCAATGAAGAATTCCAGGTACAATTTAAGGAGAATTAGTGAACTGTGGCCATTTTATTAACTGAAGATCTTAGCTCCAATGTTTCTTCCTGTACAGGTGGAGTCTCATGCCACAGTTATGGGTGAGAACTATTTATTCCTACTCTAAATTAGATTTCCTGTGTTTGCTGTCTGCTTCTGCCCCCTATTGGTGCAGAGCTGCTCTACAAAGAGGTTCATGTCTGGGCTCACACTGGAGACTACACACTGTGTCTTGCACAGTAATATGTGGCTGTGTCCTCAGTAGTCACAGAATTCAATTGCAGAAAGTATTGGTTCTTGGATGTGTCTCTAGTAATGGAGATTCGACTTTTGAGAGATGGGTTGTAGCTAGTGCTACCACTGGAATATATGTACCCCATCCACTCCATTTTATTTCCTGGAAGCTGCCGGATCCAGTTCCAGTAATATCCACTGGTAATGGAGTAGCCAGTAACAGAGCAGGTGATGGACAGTGACTGAGAGGGTTTCACCAGCCCAGGTCCTGACTCTTGAAGCTGCACCTCCGAAAGGATACCTTCAGAGAAGAAGAATCAATTCTGTCAATCACACATTTTGAAAAGTCCTCATGACACATGACACATGTATGAAATGGGAACACTCACCAGGAAGGGCTGTCAACAGGTACAGAAGACTTAACACTCTCATCTTTTAAGCTTCAGAGATCAGCCTTCAGTGAGAGAGATAGGAACTGCAGCAGCCCTGGAGGAAATATAACTTGGAGGGAGAGATGCATTTGCATGCAGGGAGCCAGCTTTACCTTCATAACTGGGCAGGGGAGATTGTGACTCCACTTGGTTATTAAAATATGACCACCCCTCTCTATTACTTCCTATAGTATGAATTTGGAATGAGATAACACAAGTACTGTAGAAATCACATCTAGATATGATCCTACTATCCCATCAGAGACCAATCTTTCCACAGACTCTTTTCTTTTCCTGTGTTTTTTTGGCTTCGAGTCACTGCCAACCTTCTTTTCACTCTTTGGTTTCTGAGTTTTTGATTTCTAATCAATGAATCCAAACTGTTCCTAGTTTTCTTTTCTTTTCCCACTCATAATATGTGTTATCATCTTTCTTAAATCTTTACACACTGTTTTATGGCTGCACAGATGATCTGCGTTATTTCCAGTAGAGTCCTTAGCTACAGTACAGTAGTGATGTAGGTAAATAACATTACATTTGTGATTTTTCCTTTTGGGAGGCTGTTCAGAGAACATGTCATAGGAATTACAACAGGTTAAACCCACCATGCATTGTTTCCCCTTTCTCCACTCACTCACCAGTGTTTTGTGTCATTTGTTTCTTTAATAAATGACTGTTCCTTGGATTAGATGAAGTCTCAAACTACCTTATTAATTTACATTTTCCTGATCGATCAACATGTTGAAAACTTGAAAATGTATTTGTTATTCATTTTTATTCTCTTTTTTGCATTATAAAAGGAAACTAAATTTATATATATATATATATATATATATATATATATATATATATATATATGTTATCGTCCTGTTGAGTCAATTCATTTTTGGCTTTTCAAAGGTGAGGGTAGAATTATGTGCATTGTGCAGACAAATGAGTGAATAACCCACAGTTCCTTTTTTGTATCTGATCTCACTCTATACCATGCATGGAATGCTTTCTCTGTCTTATCCATTATAGTCCTTTCAGCTCGTGATTGACACTAGAGCCTTTTGCAATGCTCTGTCATCTTTCTAAGGGCCATAGCAGCACAGAAGCAGATTTAGGAACACCAATGACTGAGTGGTGTGGGATATTTTGGAATCTTCCTGATCATTGTGGGCTCCTTTGAAATTCCAGGGCAATAAAATTGTGACAAGATTTCTGATTTTGGAATGGATCCTGTCCGATGAAGCTTCTATGAGTAACAGCAATAGACTTTCTTACACTGCAGAAGGATAATCTCTGGGTGACTGGTGTAAATATAAAGAGCCAGCCCAAACAGATTTATAATACCCCTAACTACACTTCCATCATATATCATGGCATGTGTGAGTTCCTCACTCCCACAAGAGAAATGACTGAGTGTTAAAGTGATGAAGCAGAAGTAGGATTAACTACAGGAGGGAGACACCAACACTCACAGGAAATCACCCATCTTCACACTACTCTGCCTCCCTAAAGATGAGAGTTCCTTTCCTTTTACACATTGGGAGGTATGTGCAGTTCCTTAAACAATGAGACTATCTAATGGTCTGTTATTAAACACCATAAGTATGTTTTATTCTGAAGAACTCCTTTTAAGGATACTTC